ATGTAAGGAAAGACTCAAAATACTAAAATCTATAATTATGCAAAATAAACAACCGACAAAAAAAGAAGGTGCAAATAAATGCGAGCTCTAGCGGATTATCATCTTAATGAGCCACATAATCAAGTTAATAATCTGAATTCGGATGAATAGAGCGCAAAGCAGATTTTCAGCGGAAATAGGACAAGAACAATGAGACTTTGTCAAAGACTCACTGGAACAAAAAAGGTAATATTTATTATCAGAATTATATTATGAAGAGCAATAATAACAAAGAACTTATGTTTTATAGATTACGCAAAAGTAACTGATAAGGTACACCACAAAGATTTTTTTGAACTATTAGGGAAACTAGATTTACTTAGAGAAGAGAGTAGAATAATTCAGAACTTATATTGAAGCCAAAGCACCTGCAGATAAATGGAAATCGAAATGAACAAGTACACAAAAACAGAAAAAGGCGTAAGAGGAAGATGTGCGTTCCCGTCGCAGAATTTACTTATTTTGACAATATGATACGCATATAACAATGTGCTCATGGCAGGTACAGAAAGAAACATAGAGGGTCTCCTAGCAAAAGAAAAGGCCCAAGATACAAAGAAGAATTGGAATTATCAGCGTCAAACAAGGACAGATTAAAAACCGGGGGAGTGTTTTAAGAGAGGAAGGAAAATGTGACACCGAGATCCGAAAGCACGTTGAATTAGCAAAAAATGCATTCAGAAAGCTAAGCAAAGTATTAAGAAACAGGAAAATTGCGTTAGAAACTGAAAATGAGTGCTGAACTGCTGTGTAATATCTCATTTCTTACATCAGAATGCAGAAAGTTATCTTCCAGAAACTAAGCAAAGTATTAAGAAACAGAAAAATTCCGTTAAAAAAATAAGAAAAGTGTACAGAACCAACAAAAGAGAGCTGAACTACTGCGCAATATACTATTTCTTATATCAGAATAGAGAAAGGTACTTTCCAGAAACTAAGAAATGTATTATTTTTTAATGCTCGGAATCGGTGAGCCGAGTTCGAATTCCACTCGAATCCATTATATTTACTTACGTGCTAATACCCTTTGGAAGGTATGAATCCTTTTCTTCTCCCCCAGCTATGAGTAAATAACAGAACAGACTAGGTTCTATAGCGTTGGATGGTAACTGGTCTACCACAGAAAGAAATGGTAACCTACTGCGGGAAAAAAATCTGCCACGTCGTTCATGTATCGAAAGATACATGATCGCCTAACCGTGCATCACGCGTGGCATAGACTGACTGATCCTTTTCTGTTGGCGAGACAATTTGTCGGTGTTAATCAAGAAAGGCGTTTTTAAATCAAGATCAGATGCAGTGATAAGTTAAAAACTTATTGTAACCGCGATAAAATCTTCAGTCTGTTTTGAGGATTCTGTGATTTTTTAAAAACACGTACGAACGCGTTCTCTTTTAGTTATTACTAGCAGTAGAGCCCGGCGTTGCCCGGGGATGTAACAGTAAGAGATAGATCAAGTATCCACCATCATAAAGACTGAAAAATAAAATTGACAAAGATTATTGTTTAAGGTTGACGGACACGCATGTCTTAATTAGTTTGTTTTTTGGTTTTTTTTAGGTTTTTTTTAAACGAATTGGTCAAACCCAAACTTAAACAAAAACATTGTTTTCAATCGTTATGAGTCTACCGATTGAATAGGATTTTATTATAAACAATTGTCTTGTAAATGAATTTTTAAAGCATTCTGAATGTAAAAATAAAGAAAAAAGTGTGCAAGACAATAAGAAACACTACCTGCCAAAAAAAGTGAAGTTTTGTTGAAATCGGTTGAAAATCTAGGAAATCCGATCCGATATATAAACGAACACACACACACAAAACAACCTGGGTTTATAATAAGTATAACTCGATATGAGTTGTCCCCCTTTCATTCCCGTGATGTGTCTTAATCGTGTTTTTCAAATTGATTTCGTACAAAAACAACTGTGTTTTTCCAATTTTTGGTGCTGTCAGAACCACCGCAAAGTAATTTCGTAATTTTAAATCGGTTGAAAAAATAATCCTATATAAACGTGACACACAACCTTTTATGAGTTGAAATTCGAATCGTGTTTTCAAATTGAAAAACAATGTGGAAACCACCGCTATCCAAAATGTAGGAACTGATCCAATATATAAACGAACAGACACAGACACACACACACAACTTAGGTTTTATAATAAGTATTATTATTATTACATTTTAAATTTATCCGTTGTAGTTATGGACTTTCTTGCAAAACAAGCGTTTCAACATAAGCGCTTATATTGAAACACTTGTTTGGTAAAAACAACGTTCCAATGCCATTTTACAGGTCTACCAATTCCGGAAAAAAAATGGAAATTGGTAGAAATGCAAAATGTCATTACATACGTTGTTGCTACATTCATAATAAATTTTGTTGAATTTTGCTTGGTTGATTTTGATATGAGCCTCGAGAATTAGAAGATTTTCTCTAATAATGTCACTAAGCGAACTATACTGGTGTGGTTAACAAGTATTCACGCGTCTTTTTAAAAATCACTATCACAACGGAATGCAGATTTTATCGCAGTTACAAAAACATGTTTGTTTTGTAATTTACCGCTTAATTTAGGCGCCTACCTTGATAAATTCCATTTTAACGTAAATAAAATGATTAAACAACTGTAAAGGATCGGTAAGTATACACAATATACCTATATTATTCATTGAAACACACACACACATATATATATATATGTGTGTGTGTGTGTGTGTGTGTGTGAAATCTTAAGCTAAAAAAAAATGTTCAACAGCACCAGACAACCAAATTCACTTCAGAGCATTTAATCCAGGGTTTAAGTGGGATATAATATATAGGGTGTTCATCTTATTACAAGTCACTGGCTACCTGATGATTGTGTGAAAGAACATGAAACTAATAGTGGTGGCCAGACACTGCCGACCTGGTTATTTGATTTGAAATAATATATATATATATATATATATATATATATATATATATATATATATATATCAACCACTAATAAGCGAGAGCAATATCTAAAAGGTCAGCCAATCTAAGAGTGAACTCATCTCACAATCCTCACACTTGCTCCATATGTGGTCTTCTTTTTTAAATCAGTAGCGGTCTTAAAATGTCACTTAAGCTTATCGCACAAAATTTCATACCTGAATCAACAAAGCTGTCAGATCCTCATACGTCGTTTTGTCGACGGAAGAGTCCATATATATATATATATATATATATATATATATATATATATATGTGTGTGTGTGTGTGTGTGTGTGTGTGTGTGTGTGTGTGTGTGTGTGTGTGTGTGTGTTCATATTCAAAAGCTTTTGCTATTTCTTGTGGCATGGAGCACTTTTATGCCAGAAGGCTGTTTGTGGGCAGACTATATTCAGAGCTGCTCATTGAAACCCTATATATATATATATATATATATATATATATATATATATGCCCATATATATAGGTTGGTGTATAAGGAAAATAATCAACAAATACTATTCTTAAAAAGAGTGCTCATTACAGTGTGGAGCAAATATTATTTATTCGAAAATTATAACATAAAAATGTTATAAAATCACTCCAAAAATAGCCATTTTGTTTCAACACTTCTGGCGTCTTATCGAGTGATGGTGTTTAATGTAGAATAAAGAGTTTTAAAAGGTTCAAATCGACCAAACACCCTTGGATAGAGGAAACGCTGTTACATTAGCTTTTGTTGAAACGAAATGGCTATTTTTGTAGTGATTTTAGAACATAGTTATGTTATAATTTTCGAATAAATTATATATATATATATATATATATATATATATATATATATATATATATATAAAGTTAGTATGAATATTAATATATAATACTGCACTTTTGCCGTTCTCATTTTTCTTTTCACCTTCCTGTTGCACGCAGATAATTCTAAGCGCTTATCCTTTTGATAGATTAGCCTCGTTATCGTTTTATACATGGCGTTATTACGCCAACCTATCTCTTGAGGCTCGTCACATTGAACTTATTCGCTTCGGCGCCTGCTCCTATCACCCTTGGTATCCCCTCAAATCAAATCCAATTTTTATCTCGTACTTTTACGCTGAATCTCGCCGGGACCTGACACTAACTCCTGCTTAAAGGAAACGGGCGGGTTAGCTTTAGGGCGCGTCTCCCAGAATTTCTGCAAATGACATCAGGCCGTCGAGAGCGGCACATCGTCGCGTGGCAAATTGAAGCTGAGGCGGAAAGCAAAAGGTTAGATTGGCCCCGGCAACGTTTCAACGGAACAATTTACGGATAGAGTTGTTTGTTAAGGCGGCCCGAAGCTGTCACGGTTGCTATGACACACCGCCCTTGGGAGTTTCTTTGTTATCATCATCAACATTGTTATTATTATTAATAATAATAATATTTTATCGTTGTTGGTGGATAACTTGATGGGATACGGTAATTTTCTAATATGCACGTTTCAACTCGGTTAGCCCGAAGCCTTCTTCAGATATGAGAGTGCCGTTTTTTTTTTCATTCGCTTGAAGACGTGGTCATTTCTAAGACAATAGTAAAAATAATAATAGCCGTTTCTTTATAACGAATTATTTGACATTCATTGGTCGAACAGCCATATAAAATCTGTTTTAAAACAAATTTTATGAAAATATGTTTTCTCAAGTTCAGTGGCTGTTATCGCTCTTTTCACTATTGACAGGAGTTTCCAACCCAACATTTTAAAGTAAAGATAATGTCTTGATTATGTCATTATTTTCTTTTCTAGTTACATGTGTAAACCATTTTAGATGTTACTGCTGTTGAAAGTTCTCAAGTGGTGGGGCGTCTGTTATTTGGTCCAGTTATTTGTGATTCTGTAGCGCCAGTCCAAAATGTTCAAAGAGGGATGGCCATGGACAAAATCTACAAGCTTCACTCGCTCAAAGATTTTTGTTTTAATTATGCAACTTTGAAACTGGTATCACCATTCTCTTCGGGAGAGATAGCTAGGAAAAAAACGGATGAGACAGACAGATATGAAAAGTATAGAGATAGATAGATAGATAGATAGATAGATAGATAGATAGATAGATAGATAGATGCGGGCTGAGGTAGATATGGACTAACTGAGATAGATATCAAGAGACTGAGATAGATAGAAGCACAATGGGAGAGATAGATAGATAGATAGATAGATAGATAGATAGATAGATAGATAGATAGATAGATGCGGGCTGAGGTAGATATGGACTAACTGAGATAGATATCAAGAGACTGAGATAGATAGATAGATAGATAGATAGATAGATAGATAGATAGATAGATAGATATGAACATATTATGACAGATAAAGATAGATAGATAGATAGATTTGAACGGAGTGAGATTGATAGAGAGATTTGAATCGAATGAGATAGATTTAAACAGAATTAGATAGATTTGAACAGAATGAGATAGATAGATAGATAGATAGATAGATAGATAGATAGATAGATATGGACACGGATATCTGAGATAACTATCAATAGATGGATGAGATAGATAGATAGATAGATAGATAGATAGATAGATAGATAGATAGATAGATAGATGAATAGATGACAGACTAAGATAGATAGATAGATAGATAGATAGATAGATAGATAGATGAATAGATAGATTTGAACGGGATTGAGATTGATAGATTTGAATCGAATGAGATAGATTTAAACAGAATTAGATAGATTTGAACAGAATGAGATAGATAGATAGATAGATAGATAGATAGATAGATATATAGATAGATTGATTGATTGATTAATTGATTGATTGATTGATTTAAACAGAATCAGATAGATTTAAACAGAATGAGATAGATAGATAGATAGATAGATTGATAATTGATTGAGATAGATAAACATAGATAGATTTGATTGATTGATTGATTGATTTAAACAGAATTGAGATATTGATTTTTAAACAGAATGAGATATAGATAGATAGAATGAGATAGATAGATAGATAGATAGATAGATAGATAGATAGATAGATAGATTGATTGATTTTGATTGACTGATTTAAACAGAATGAGATAGATTTGAACAGAATGAGATAGATAGATAGATAGATAGATAGATAGATAACGATAGATAGATAGATTTGATAGAGATTTTAAACAGAATGAACAACAGAATGAGATTGACAGATAGATTTGAATAGAATGATGATAGATTTAAATAGATTTGAATAGAATGAGATAGATTTAAACAGAATGAGATAGATTTGAAGATAGATAGATAGATAGATAGATAGATAGATAGATAGATAGATAGATTTGAACGGAGTGAGATTGACAGATAGATTTGAATAGAATGAGATAGATTTAAACAGAATGAGATAGATTTAAACAGAATGAGATAGATAGAATATGAACAGATTAAGATTATACGACAACATTGTAAGAGCTAGTTAGTTTACTTGCTACGTACATGATTGATATGGCCAGATAGATACGAATACGCTGAGATTGATAAAAGAAACAGATCAACGGATATATAAATATGAAAAGGCAGACAGATAAATACAGAATCGTATCAGCTCTTTAATCTTCACCTATCAGAATATACATATATATATATATATATATATATATATATATATATATATATATATATATATATATATACATTTAGTCAGAAAACACACTTTTATAAATATTTCGTCTAAGACGTCTGACACGCGATTGCGATTTTTTTAATATTCGTACAAGCTAGAAATTTATTTTCTAGATACAAAGTGTTTAAAAAACTGTCCAAAATTCTGCCTATTCGAGCGCTTTTGGTTATTCTTTTAGCCATTATCAGGGGCGATTTTTATTTTTTATTTTTAACTAAATATGTGAGTTTTTTTAACGTATGTGTCTAAATTATAGCAATGTTCTATTTTTCCGAACACGGTCAGCATATTTTGGCTGTGTTCATAGTTAACGTTATTGAGTGTTGGCGTTTTGTTTTTTATTAATAGGACCGCCATTATTTTTAATATTCTTTTACTTATGGATGAGGCTATGATACTTGTATTTTCTACTAATATGTTTCGGATTGAGTCTGGTATATTTTTGTGTGTGTTCATATGAGTTCTAATAGAACTGTGTTCAGGTAGGTGTAGCGTAAGTCGTCTAGGTAATCATGTAGTAGTGTGACAAATATAATTATTTATGACAACACTTCTACGAATACAAGATTAATCGCAGTACCTTGTCAGTTGTCTTTAACGATATATATATATATATATATATATATATATATATATATATATATATATATATATATATGCAAATATATTGATAAAATAGGAAAGAACCGTTAGATTGATGATCCGAAGTTCTTTGGAATTTTTGTTTTATATTTTAAAAAAAGTGCTCAATGCACAAATAGAGCCTAGATTATAATTTTAAAAAAAGAAATTATGATTCCATCGCTACACAGGAATTACCATGTTTCAAAAACTGTAGCTAAAATCTTACGATTCAATTATAGAAATTAAATTAAATTAAAGTACCTTCTTCTGATTCATTTTCAAGCGCTTGAAAATGAAACAGAACTAAGTACTTTAATATAATTTTTATAAATGAATTGGAAGTTTTTAGCTCCCGTTTTTGAAACATGGTAATTCCTGTGTAGCGATGGAATCATATTCTTAAAAGAATAATAATAATAATAATATATAATAAAAAGAATAAATATAAATAAGTGTACTTGTAAGTGTTTACACACAAATACATACATAATGCATATATCCTTTGGTGTAAAAAAAAAGTGCTCAATTCTAAATGACAGATCTAATAAGTATATATTAATAAAAATATATAAATACCCAACGCTAAGGGTATGACTCGGTGTTTAATTCCCAATGTAATCTGTAGGCACCGGTCGTTGTTTACAATTTGTTTAACATTTCTGGGTCTCGTGAGTTAAATTTAATTTAAGCTAAACTATGCATACGGATATCGGTCACATTTACCCTATACAGTGTAACCTGGATATAAGAGAAACCCGGATATAAGAGAGATTTTCTCTAGTCCCAAATTAGAGCCTGTGTTAATGTATATAAAATAGACCAAACACAGATATAAGAGAAACCCGGATATAAGAGACTTCTTCTCCGGTCATGACAACTCTCTTACATCCGGGTTACACTGTACCTTAAAATCATAATTGATATCACTCTCTCACACACACATATATATATATATATATATATAAGTAATTCATCGAGTTTGATAGAAACCTCAACAGAATGCAGAAAGCACTGGACGGCCGTTTCGTCCTATATTTGGGACTTCATCAGCAGTGCGCATCCACTACCGAGAATTGAAACCCTGATAGTTATGTTATCAGGCAAACGTCATACCAACTGTTCCGACGGGCCTCGGTGACGAAGAGATAGCAAATCAGACTCAATATAGCACCGCTCGCTCACATATTCCGTGGAGGAACTCTACTGAATTTCTCTCTAATATATATATATATATATATATATATATATATATATATATATATATATATATATATATATATATATATATATATATATATATATAAAATAGACAAAGTCCGACAATTTATTTATTAAAGACATTTTTATGTTTAACGTTCTTTTTTTTTTTTTTATAGATACAAGTATTTAAGTAAATGCTCTGTTTATAATAAACAGTATTAAATAACATTTACCGGCCTGAATGTCCGAGAAATTTTCATAGAAAATATTCGTCCTTTCACAGGATTCGAACCTGCATCCTATGCGGAACCGTCATTTACGCTGACGTGCCTTAACCGACTCGGCCACAAAGGAGCGTTCGGCGAAGTTTATAAGCAGTAAATTCGACCTTGCCTACCGAACGCTCCTTTGTGGCCTTTGAGGATGATTTACTAGATATAATTAACAATATCTCCTTTCACAAAAGAAGATATCATTTCAAGTGACACTTTGGTCATGATATAATGGATATAAATGTTAGACATTTTCATGACGGTCGTCCTCGAGTATAGAATCCAGAGGTTGGCAGTGAATATTTCGGAGACAGTAGGAAAGCGTAGTGCAGGTTCGCAGTGGATATCGCAGCAAGGTAGCAGAGCGTAGTTCTTCCGTCTGTCATGTTCGCCGGACAGGTTGCCTCTGGTCCTTTCGATAGGAGAAACAAAGATGGCCGCCTTTATACACGACGAATACAGTGTTGTGCGGCTTCTGATTGCTCAACCTTCTATTGGTCGACTATAAAGGGAAATAAGTCATTCTGACTCGCTCACTAGTTACATACAATATACCCAAAAAAACGTAACAATAAATTCACTTGAATAAGTGTTTGTAAAGTCTTATAAAACAGCAAATTTCCATAAAACCACTGCTTTGGATTATAATACTCTAATTAGGAAAAAAATTAACAAAGAAAAAAATAGAAAAATAAATAATAAGTTACTTAATTTGGTAGACAGTATTAATGATATAAGTCAAAATATCACGGATAAACTAAAAATTAGTGACAGAGTTAGTAAGCTCTTTACAAGCGAATCTTACAAAACCATCAAGGACCACAAACCGGACTTTGAAATGAACCCTACCAAAAGGCTCATAGACCCTACTCGACCTGAGATGGGTAAAATGAGTAAAATTATCATAAGGGGTCAACAAACAAATTAAGGAGCGCCTTGGACTATCACAATGGATCAACACTACCGATGTCACCAAGTGGCTTTGTAATATTAAAGATAAAATCATTTTTTTTTTTTGATCCAGTTTGATATCAACGCTTATTACCCATTAGGAACTTTTTAAATTTGCTTTGGAATTTGCTACCGTGTATTCTGATCTATCAGAGCATGAATGGAATATTATTATGAGCGCAAAAATCTCTCCTTATCCACAACAATGGATAAAAAAAATAATTCAGCTGACCAATTTGACATTACTATGGGATCATTAGACTCTGCTGAGTCTTCCGACCTCGTTGGATTGTTCCTTTTATACGACCTTACTGCCCACATTGAAATCAATATAGAGGATATAGGTTATATAGGGATGATGGCCTTATGGGTGTTAGGAATTCTACTAATTTCAAAACTGACAAAATTAGAAAATTAATCCACAGAGGGTAAAAAGCCTAAAAGTTACAATCAATACAAATTTAAAAAGGTGAACTTCCTTGATGTAACACTAGGCTTACTCAACAATATATACCAACCATACAGGATAACAAACAATAATCCATTGTATATCCATCCAAAGTCTAATCACCCTCCATCTATAATAAACACATACCTTCATCCATAGAATATGAAATTAGTACTAACTCTACCAACGAAGATATATTTTATAAACACTGCAATTTTTATAACAATGCTTTAAAATATAGTGTCTATAAATGCCCCGATATTAAATAAAGAATACATAATAATAATAGCCCTAAAAAATAGAAATAGAAAAGTCATTTGGTACACACTCCATTTAACCAAATGGTTAACACTAAATTAGGGCAAAAGTTTTTCGGTTTGATTGAGAAACATTTCCTCTAAGCAAGATTTTTAATAAAAATACGATTAAGTTATAGTTGTACTCATAATCTAGATAAAATATTAAAGAACATAATAATAAAATTTTAAATAAACACTTAGACAGTAGTAATTCCAAAGCAGAAATTAATAATAATGATAATAAAATATGTAATTGTAGATATCTATAAATTGTCCATTGCAAAATAGATGTCTTACAGAATCAATTGTTTACCAATGCACTATTTCATCTACTGAAAACCCGGATGTCGTCTGTGCTGACGTATCTTCAAAGTGTCAATTTATTTAGACACGAATTAATAATCCATCTACTCTTAACTTCTGACCTCATTTTTCTATTTTAGTTTTGATCCGTCTTTTGATTGGTTAATCAAGATATGATCACAATAGTGTTTTTTTTTTTAATTTTGGAACCTTGTATTTTTTCCTCTCTCATTTTTAACTCTCAAATGAGCTACTGAATTATTTTCTGATTTCCCAAGTAAATTATTTTCATCATAAGTTATCTAACATCGCCTGATGAGGAACAATTTTTAAGTTCTTAACCCTTTCTAGGTTACATCAAACCTGCTCTATTTTTTTCTTTAATGGAGTTTTTATCACATAAAATCTGATGAGCCATGTTCTAATTTTATTGATGAAAATGCGGGCCAGACAAAAAAAATAAGTTTCAGATCCATTGTAACTACACCAGCGACTCGCAGTTATATAGGATTTAGCTAAGGTTGCCATAGTCAATAGTTGGTTCAAATTTGAACTACAGTGACCAAATGAGCCATATCTGTTCGTCGCCCGACCCTGTCAAGACAGTGTAAAGGTTGTCGAATTTGCCAACGTACGACAATCTTCGGCTACAAGAAGAATTATACATTCGGTCATGAATAATGAAACGTCCAAGGAATGATCTTGAGAATGATGGTTAATATATGCTTGCTTTTTTATGAAAAGAAATGGTTTGATTTCGTTTGTTTGTGTCACTCTCTGAGTGTGTATAATACGGTGATAGGGAGTGAAAAATATCGTCTGCTTCTACATTTCTTTGTGTATGCATATGCGTGTGTATGTGGAAATATAGTTAATGAATCTATGTCTTATTTTGTTTATGTGTGTTCGTCACCTGTGTCTGCACATGTGTATACATGTGCATGTGTATGTGTGCATGTTTATTAGCAATTGTGGGAGTGAGTCGTTCTAAGAATGAATGTATCTTTGATTTCATGTTTGTTTCTACGCGTACGTGGGTGTGTGTGCGTCGTGCTAAGTATGTTCGTGTCTTAATGTACTTACACAACGAGATTTGATGTACTTGATTGAGTTAGCGATTGTGTATGGGTCTGTGTATCTGTGTGTGTGTGTGTGTGTGTAGTTGTGTGTGGATGTGTCTGTTCCGTAGAAAGAACTGTTCAGTAAGATTTGCCAAGAGGTACAAGGCGAAGGTGGGTCTGGGAGAGGTTTCGTTTCGATTCCTGACGAACGTTGATTTCTCTTGGGAGATATAAACTGAGAAAAAGCAGATCGAAATAAAATAAATGGAAGGAAGGAAGGAAGGAAGGAAGGAAGGAAGGAAGGAAGGAAGAGAGGCAAATAGGAAAGATAAGATAAAATAGGAAGTAAAGAAAGGAAAGAAAAGAGGAGTAGAAAGAAAGTGTCGAAAGAGAGAATGGAGGAAGATAGAATAAGAAGGGAAAGAAAAAAAGAAAGAAAGAATGAGAGGAAAGAAAGAAAGTAAAGAATGAAGGAAGAAAGAGAGGCAGAATAAAAGTGAGGATAAAACGCACAGTAAAAAAAGAAAGAAAGAACAAAAGGGGGAAAGGAAAGAAAAAAGTAATGAATGAAGCAAGGAAGAAATAGAGGAGAGAATGAAAGTGAGGATAAAACAGATCGTAAAGAAAGAAAGGAAGAAAGAAAATAGTGGAAAGAAAGGGATGAAGGGAAATGAAAAGGAGAAAGCAAAGAAAAAAGGAAGGAAGGAAGGAATGGAGGCAAGTAGGAAAAAATAGGAAGTAAAGAAAGAAAAGGAAAGTGGGGTAGAAAGAATGTGTCGTAGAATTGAATGGAGGAAGATAGGATAAAACCGACCGAAAAGAAAACAAAGAAAGAAAGAGCGAAAGGAAAGAAAGAAAGTAATGAATGAAGAAAGGAAGAAAGAGAGGGATAAATGAAAGTGAGGATAAAACAGATCGGAAAGAAAGAAAGAAAGAAAGAAAGAAAGAAAAAAGAACGAAAGAAAGAAAAAAGAACGAAAGAAAGAAAGAAAGAATGAGAGAAAAGAAAGAAAGGAAAGAATGAAGGAAGGAAGAGGGGCAAGAATAAGAGCGAGGATAAAACACAGTAAAGAAAGAAAGAAACAAAGAAAAGAAACAAAAAGAAAGAAAGAGGAAAGGAAAGAAAGAAAAGTAATGAATGAAGAAAGGAAGAAAGAGAATGAATGAAAGTGAGGATAAAAAACAGATCGGAAAGAAAGAAAGAAAGAAAAAAGAAAGAAAGAAAGAAAAAAAGAAAGAAACAAAAAGAAAAAAAGAACGAAAGAAAGAAAGAAAAGAATGAGAGAAAAGAAAGAAAGGAAAGAATGAAGGAAGGAAGAGGGGAAAGAATAAGAGGAGGATAAAACACAAAGTGAGGAAGAAACAAAGAAAGAAACAAAGAAAGAAACAAAGAAAGAAACAAAGAAAGAAAGAGCGAAAGGAAAGAAAGAAAGTAATGAATGAAGAAAGGAAGAAAGAGAGGGATGAATGAAAGTGAGGATAAAACAGATCGGAAAGAAAGAAAGAAAGAAAGAAAGAACGAAAGAAAGAAAGAAAGAAAGAAAGAAAGAAAGAAAGAAAGAAAGGAAAGAATGAAGGAAGGAAGAGGGGCAAGAATAAAAGTGAGGATAAAACACACAGTAAAGAAAGAAAGAAACAAAGAAAGAAACAAAGAAAGAAAGAGCGAAAGGAAAGAAAGAAAGTAATGAATGAAGAAGGAAAAAAGAGAGGGATGAATGAAAGTGAGGATAAAACAGATCGTAAAGAAAGAAAGAAAGAAAGAAAGAAAGAAAGAAAGAAAGAAAGAAAGAAAGAAAGAAAGAAAGAAAGAAAGAAAGTATGAGAGGAAAGAAAGAAAGGAAAGAATGAAGGAAGGAAGAGGGGCAAGAATAAAAGTGAGGATAAAACAAACAGTAAAGAAAGAAAGGAAGGAAGAGAGGCAAAACTGAAAGTGAGGATAAAACAACGTAAAGAAAGAAAGAAAGAAAGAAAGAAAGAAAGAAAGAAAGAAAGAAAAGGGAGGGAAGAAGGAAAGACTGAAGAAAGAAAGAAGGAAAGTAGAAAGGGAGGAAGGAAGTAAAGGAGGACAGAGGGACGGAAAGAAAAAAGGAAGAATGAAAATGGGAAAAATTGATGTCTAAATTAAGAAAGAATTCTCTAAAGGAAAATGCAAAAGAAAGATATACTAAATTAAAGAACAAAAGAGAAAATGTTTTGAGAAATACAAAAAGCAAAATTCGAAAAATTGCATAATAAAAGAGATAGTCTCAAATCAGGTTATACAAAAAGACAAAAAACAAAGCATCAAATAATATATATATATATATATATATATATATATATATATATATTTTTTCTAGATATAATTTAAATAACTGCTCTGTTTTTTTATTATTAAACAGCATCTTGAATGTTCAAAAAATTTCATAGAAAATATACGCTCCCGGACAGGGATCGAACCTGTAACCTTTCCCGGAGACGTCAAATAGCCTGACGTGTTGTCACAATTCAGCCACGGAGTACGAATTACTGTTTATAAGCACACACCTTCGAATGTTTTACTCGAGCAATCATTTCTGCTCTTGGAATGTGACTGAATCGTAACAGCACATCAGTCTATATGACGGTTCCTATAAGGGTTACAGGTTCGATTCCCGTTGAGAGCGAATATTTTCTAAGAAATTTTTCGAATATTCAGGCCGGTAAATGTAATTAATAGTTTGATTAAAAAAAACAGACCTTTTAATTAAATAAATTTTCTATATATATATAAAACATAGGATGTCTGTCTGTCTGTCTGTATGATACCTTTTCACTCGAGATCCACCCAACCGATTTGGACCAGTCTTTGTACATATATTATACAATGTTAGAGATAGGGTCTTAGCGTAAAAAATCGATAATTTTAAAAAAATCAATAATCGATAAAGACGATCAAAAATCGATAAGTTCAACTTTTTCCTCCGATTTCGTTCAAACTCGGTATCTAGGTTACTTACATCATGACGAACTCAATGATACCTCATTTTTATTTCTACCCCACTGCGTTTAGCGAAAAACCGCGAAAAATAGAAAATCGATTTCAACACAAATTTTAAACTAAAAACTCCCTCAATTTTCAAGCAATCTAATACAAACTTTACTCAACTGTACCCAACAATAAGTTAATTGTTTAAAAGTCATTTAACTTTATAATTGAGTCCACCCATGTATAAAAAAACCCGCGTAAATAGCGAAAAATGGCGATTTTTACTGGTTTCTTTCTTATTTTTCATTGATATTTCAAACAATTTTCATCGAACTTAACAATTGCATTATGTATCCTCTTTTACATCCCTGGTAGCACACTGACAAATTGAATTTCAAAAACTCCAAAATAATTGTTGTCTGAATTGAGTCTTCATGTTGCCTGTTTTACCCCTTCATGTCCTCGGCTAACTTCGATTGAAGAAATACAAACTACTTCTGTTATATCAGTAACTGCATTAATTCAAAATGTTTTCTTAATGAAATTACTTTAAAGTAATTGAAGAAGATAGATTCTGTTACATCTAAACATGATCCTGTTTTTGCTCCATCCTAATTGAACGCTTTTTGTGATTGACCAGGTGTGTATGCCTGGGAGAATCTATAAAAATAACGTATAAAAATAATGTATAAAAATATTAAATAATTGTCGGACTTAATCCATTTCATAACACACACACACACACACACACACACATATATATATATATTTATACATTCTTTGCATTTTTTCGAATATTTTCTATGAAAATTTCTCAGACATTCAGGCCGGTAAATGTTACTAATACTGTTTATTATAAAACAGAGCATTTATTTGAATATTTGTATCTATAAAAAGAATGCATAAACATAAAAATGTCTTTAAAATAATTGTCGGAATTTGTCCATTTCATAATGTGTGACGTCATTTGTTTACATTTGGATTCGCTTTGAGCAGATAAGATTGTTTGTGAGAGATTCATGGAAGGTTGAAGTTTAAAATCAGTAAATTCGACCTGGCTAATCGAACGATCCTCTGTGACCAATTCGGATAAAGGCACGTCAGGCTATATGACGGTTCCGTATATAGGATTCAGGTTCGATTCCTGTCGGAGGACGAATATTTTCTATGAAAATTTCTCGGACATTCAGGTCGGTAAATGTTGTTAATACTGTTTATTATAAACAGAGCATTTACTTACATATTTGTATCTATAAAAGAATGTATAAACATAAAAATGTCTTTTATATATATATATATATATATATATATATATATATATATATATATATATATATATATATAAGACAATAATAATCCAAAATCACCTCCTACTGGGAATAAGCTTATTTCGACAGTTGAAAATATTCATCAGCCTTATTTAAATTTCCTTTATATAGGTTTTAGTTAATTGATAATTATATTCCTCTAACCCCTTCAACAGTCAAATTCGAATTCTAATTTCTATATTTCTATCTTTACACTATATTAATTCTCATAAATTGTCCCATGTTGTAAGAATTTTCTTTCCTTCAGTATTTGTCTATATTTCTGAGATGAGGTGCTATGTACACTATTTAGATTATTCGGAGTATTGTCCTCATCTCTGTTGCCATATTTATTACAACGTTTCGGTCGTTGTACGTTCCAGCCTTATTCTTTGGAATGTCGAACTGAACCCTTTATTTCATTCACTGTCCTTGAGACACATGGCACAGTGGATAAAGGCGTTGGTTAGATCCAGTGACAGAACCCAAAGAGTTCAAGTTCAATACTCGGCTAAGGCAGTGGAGAACTTTCAGAGGGAAATTAACAGGAGATAACTGATAACTGACATCTATTAAACATGGCACGTGGAACTAGAACTGTCTACCCCAGTGAGTTAAATGAAGGGTTCAGTTCGACATTCCAACCACCTGAAGGAGCGTACAACTGCCGAAACGTTGTAATAAATATGGCGACAAAGATGAGGACAATAGTTCGAATAATGTAAATAATGTTCTTGCCTTTTATCACTTACATCTATTTATCTATCTATTTTAAGTTTGTTTTTAAGAATAACTTTGTATTTTTAAGTATAACTTGTTTTTAGATATATCTTATTTTTAAATATAACTTTTATATTTTTTCTTTATAACTTTATTTTTCAAATATATATTTTTCTTATCTTATTATATAGAACGTGGAACTAGAACAATCTATCCCGGTGAACGAAATAAAGTGTTCAGTTAGAAACTTGTACATAATTTGATACTCACCGGGCAAAGATTTTTTTTACATATACTGGGCGTAACAGAAAAATTGTTTCAGTTTTGTTACACCATAACTCTCTATCCTACAAAATGTTTATTATCTTAAAAAATACTAAACATTGAGTTTATTTTTTCCAGGTTTTATGTTAAGTTTTTAGCTATCCTCATACCATGAATCACTGAAAAACTATTTCAGTTATTCAACTAGAAAACGAATAGGTTAAAATCGTTTTTTTTTTTTTTGTTTTTTTTGTTTTTTTTTGCCAGACCCATTTTCTTCTCAACTGAGCAATGGTGAGAGAAAAAAGATTATTCAGGTCTTCAGTAATAGTACTAACATTCATACTCTGGTTTCCGTCTTTAAATCTATTCAAGAACCATTAAGATAATGGTGAATAAGTTCTAAAAAGAGGGAACGTTAGAGAGGAAAACTAGATCAGGAGGTCACAACAGGAAGCGGGATCATCATTTCAACTTAGAGCTAAAGCGACCAATTAGAAATGATCCAGTTCAATTCATAAGACGTTTGGCACGAGAGAGAGAGGAGTTTCAGCTATGACAATCCAAAGAGCAATGAAAGAAGACTTGAAAATGAAATCGTACGTGAAACTTGTGAGGCGACTTGTTACTCCAAGACAGAAAGTTAGAAGGTTAGAGAGGCCGAAGAACATCGTGAATAAGTTGGAAAAGGATCCTGGAACAATATATATATATATATATATATATATATATATATATATATATATATATATATATATTAACTTTATTTTAATACTCCATGAGCTTCCTGATCGTTAGCTATGATTAATTAATGATGAACATGTTATTTTCATTTATGATCTATTTCATCACGATTCTTCCGTTAAGCTTGGAGATTAATTATACCTTCTTATTGCCCGAAGTAGAATCTAATAGTATTAGAAAACGGTCGGAGAATTCCAATAAAATAACTTTAGTCATTTCTAAGACACAACGGTTTGGAACTTAATCTAACAAATAGTCAATTTTGCTTTTACACGATTTGGACAATTTTGCTGTTACACACGGTGTAATTTATAAATCGCAAAATGTATTAATGTATTGTTGGTCATTTTATTATAAAAAATATGTTGTTTGTCAACTTATTATAAAAATGTATTGTTGGTCATTTTATTATAAAGATGTACTGGAGATTTTTGTTTGGGGAGTTAACTATTTGACCATAGAATGGACCCTAACAGGTGCTACCACCCCGGGTCAGTGTGGATCAGGGAACAACAGAAGTGAAGATGTGGTCTAGTCTCCTGCAAACATCCAATCACCCGATCAGAAGCCTTGGTGACGTATATAGTTTATCGTCATACCCAGGACACCAAATGTATATGCGCACACACACACACACACACACACACACATACATACATATATATATATATATATATATATATATATATATATATATAAACAGACCACTTTAAGGTTCCATGTAATTAATTATTTCACCACATTTATCCTCCTTAGGTTTACCCATACTACATTTTTCATAAACTATATATATATATATATATATATATATATATATATATATATATATATATATTGTTGTGGTAGGATCCACCTAATTTGCATAGTGGGAGTACCGACCATATAAATATGGTTGGTACCGGAAGACGAGGGAGGAATCAAGAGATTCAATCCAGAGACTCTGCCTGACTGTGACTAAGTCAACACATTCTCCAGGAACGGTCTTCCCAAGAATATACAAAAGACTATATGTAAATATTGTGTACACTTTCTTGTTTCAATACATTTTATTCTAAGTACATTTTGTGCTGCATTATTATTCCATGCATTAGTCAAGTTTCATATATATATATATATATATATATAGGTATGTATAATCTTATAAATATAAGTAATTATACACGTCTGGAAAAACCTTAGGTGTTTTGGCTTGTAAATGAACAAACCAATACCCAAGGAAAAATAAGGAATAAAAAAAGAACTAAGAACATGTACTTCCGGCAAGAATAATCGTCGAGAATCAAAGTTCAGAGTTCAAAGAAAAAAAAATCTCCGACACGAGTAAAGTAAAAATAACTAAGCAAAGTGCTCAATACACTAAGTCAAGCAAATCTAACTATGAACCTAAAAAAGCCAGGCAAAACCTAAAGAACCTAAACTATGAAACTAAAGAGCCGGGTTTGCCTGGCTCTTTAGGTTCACACACACACACACACACACATATATATATATATATATATATATATATATATATATATGGACACATAGGTTAGCTACTTCTGAGATAATACTTCCTATGCGTACACGGATATAATTTCATCCTGAATTCTGTTTTAAGCTGATTATTCTAAAGTATAATTAAAAAGTTTCCAATAGTGATAAAAAATAAGAAAATAGGAACGACCCCTAAATATAATCTCTCAATTCCATCAGAAATTTTTTTTAAAAATCTTAAGAAAAACACAGGGGAAAAAAGTCAACGGACTGACGATAAGTATATTAAAAGAAAACAAAAAAAAAATGAGATGGGCTTTTCCATTTTGGGGGAAATTCTAACTTAGCACACTAACAAAAAATGCAATAAATTAAATTGTTCTATACATAGATAGATAGATAGATAGATAGATAGATAGATAGGAACAGATATGGATAGATAAAAGGACATACTGAGAGCGATATGCCAACTGACAGATACGTAAAACGAAGTCGTCAAATCAAGATCGAATTCAAGGATGTATGAAATAAGTTCTCCCAATTTTCTGTGAGCAAAAAAATCAAGTTAACATTGAAGTCAACGTCCAGAGGGGACATTCTGTTTCATGCTAAAAGCAATGTGCACATGATGTGACGATTACGTTTAGCATGAAAAAGAATGTCGCCTCTAAATTTTGACTTTAGTGTCCACTATATATATATATATATATATATATATATATAATATTATTTATTTATTTGATATTAAAACTTGTTAAAAATCGATACACAATATAAATTATATTTCAGCAACATAAATGTGTCTCTTCAGGCGATGTAACTACTGGCGAGTGAACTTTCACTTTGCCAGAAGTTACATCGCCTGAAAAGACACATTTATGGTACTGAAACATAACTATAATTGTGTAGCGATTTTAACATGTTTTAGTATCTTAAAATAAATAATATTTAGCACTAGCATGTGTTGACCCCTCTTTTAAATTAAATGTTACGTAGTGTGGAATCATACTCCATTTGTTCTCATTTTACCTGAATATATATATATATATATATATATATATATATATATATATATATATATATATGTATTATAAATTAACTGATCTAAAATATGGTTTCTTCGCTACACAAGAATCACCATGTTTCAAAAACTGAAGCTAAAATCTCCAAATTTAATTATATAATTAAATTAAAAACATTCGTTTTGTTTCATCTTCAAGCACCGGATTATATATCTTACTATTCTTTCTTTTTATTATAATATATATATATATATATATATATATATATATCAATCAATATATATATATATATATATATATATATAAAGAAAAACAGAACTCTGAACTCCTTAAGGTTCCATTGTAATAATTTATTTCACCAGAGACCTTTTAAAGGACATACAATCGCTAAAGCGTGAAACCCAGGGTCACAAACTCATATCTATCCAACCAAATATGTTAGCTCTATCTCTGATATTGAGCGCTTTCTAATAAGTACCGCGCATATAATATATAAATAATTATACATATATATATTTATTTATATTTATATACACTTTTCACACACACACACACACACATATATATATATATATATATATATATTAAAGAAAAACAGATCACTTTAAGGTTCCATTGTAATCTATTTCACCAGAGCCCTTTTAAAGGACGCTGGATCACCAGACACACACACACACACATATATATATATATATATATATATATATATATATATATATATATATATATATATATATGTCCTCACTAATTAACCGTTATTGTAACTACCATTTGTACATGCTTCTAATAATCCAAAGAAGAATCAGCAATATTATTCTTTCTAACCTGGTTCTCACGGTTTCAGTCACTTTCCCACCTCCGTAATGTAGTCTCCCTGTGCCTTTTCTATAAATATTTTTATGGTAATTCTTCCGATGAACCCTTTGCTACGGTTCTTAAACTTTATGAATTTAATCGCAGTACTTGATTGGCAACTAGGTCTCATCAATTTACAGTTGAATTGACTCGATATAACCCTAAGTTCTATGGTAACAGTTTCTGTTCTCCCACTTCCCGCATATAAAACTCACTTCCGGTTCCATGTTTTCCAGCCAACTTTGATTTCTAAAAATTTAAATGCAATGTCAATCGTTAACTACTGTCTTCTGGATTGTTCTTCTTCTATTCTTCTCGCTCCTTAATAATGTTTCTCTTTTTTTCTTATTCTTCCACACTCAGTAACTTCTTATGTCTTAGTGGATTTACTGCCTCGCATGGGGTGAAATGATTAAAAGCAAATAAAATTTTAGGTAGCAATCCAAGACTCAGAGAATCCACTTATCCTCAGAGATGTCTTACCGAAGTCTATAGGTTTTTCACTGAAACTAGACTTCCAGAACAATCTTTACATCAACCCAGGTATTTTTAACATTTCGCGCTTTTTATTATTAGTATTTTTATTTTCTTTGATTTCTGGCGTTTACACATTTCTTTCCGGGTCCCGCCCAGGGACCTAAGGTTAGAAATGGCGTCATGACACTTTCCACTGACAAAAAAAAAAATTACATAGATAAAGCCCTTCGTAAGGTGTGGGCTGTACTTGACAGAGCAATTTTTTGTATCTCCTTGAGGCATGGACTTCCAGAACTTCCAAACTTATTATTATTATTATTATTATTATTATTATTATTATTATTATTATTATTACCATTTTTACGGGTGCCAATCATAATACCGAATCTCATAATCTCGAAAAGTGATATCCCGAATTTACAAGATCCCGAAAGATCAGAAACTCGAAATTTAAAATCATGAAAGATCAGTATCATGAAAAACAGTCTTTGGGAGAAATTGAAAATATCTTTATTTGTAAACACTTAAAAAATAGCGTTGAAACAGTGTTTATACATTTAGAACGTTCAAAATTCATTAAAAATATAAAACCAGAATATTGCATAGACGATGGAAGAATTTAGTAGGAAATGCATATGTCGTTGTTTATCGCATTATTGAAGAATTTCAAAAAAGCTGCTGCACGGAGAAAACGAATGTGTCCCCATTCTCCGAGGAGAGTCTTGTCCAAAAAAGAAAAAAAAAACGTTTGTTTTATTGTGATGAAAGGCTCAAAAATATAGTTAACGACCTTGAAATCCGACCAGATCTTAAAGACTATCTTAAGTCTCTTGCACATAATCTTTCATTATAAATTATTCATATATTTCGGTCTTTTACTTTTTAATGAATTTTCAAATATATAAACACTATTTAAACGGTATTTTTTTAAAAATCTTTATAAATAAAACTATTTCCCAATTTTTTTTTTCAATTTCTCTCAAAGATTATTTCTCGGGATTCTGATTTTTCAGGATTTAAAATTTCAGGATTCTGAAATTTGATCTCGGTTCGATAATTTCAATTCCTACTGTCTCACATACTCTACCTCACGATATTTATATTATATAAATAAATATATATTTCTATTTGTAAGTAATGCCGATCATAATCCCGAATGTCGAAATCTTGAAATTTGAAATCCCGAAATTTGAAATCCCGAAATTTGAAATCCTGAAATTTTAAATCCTGAAATTTGAAATCCCGAAATTTGAAATCCTGAAATTTGAAATCCTGAAATTTAAAATCTCGAAATTTGAAATCCTAAGATTAGAAATCGTGAAATTTGAAATCCCGAAATTTGAAATCCAAAAATTTGAAATCCTGAAATTTGAAATCGTGAAATTTGAAATCCCGAAATTTGAAATCCCGAAATTTGAAATCCTGAAATTTGAAATCCCGAAATTTGAAATCCTGAAATTTGAAATTCAAAAATTTGAAATCCTGAAATTTGAAATCGTGAAGTTTGAAATCCCGAAATTTGAAATCCCGAAATTTGAAATCCCGAAATTTGAAATCCTGAAATTTGAAATCCCGAAATTTGAAATCCTCAAATTTGAAATCGTCAAATTTGAAATCCCGAAATTTGAAATCCTGAAATTTGAAATCCAAAAATTTGAAATCATGAAATTTGAAATCATGAAATTTGAAATCATGAAATTAGAAATCCCAAAATTTGAAATCCTGAAATTTGAAATCCTGAAATTTGAAATCCCGAAATTTGCAATCCTGAAATTTGAAATCCTGAAATTTGAAATCCTGAAATTATAAATCCTGAATTTTGAAATCCCGAAATTTGAAATCCTCAAATTTGAAATCCCGAAATTTGAAATCCCGAAATTTGAAATTTGAAATCTTGAAATTTGAAATACTGTATAAAATACCGATAGATCAGCATCCCGAAAAATAATCTTTGGGAGAATTTTAAAAATTGGAAATACCTTTATTTGTAAACATTTTCCAAATAGCGTTTAAATATGCTTTATACATTTGAAACATTCAAAATTAATTTTAAAAAAATGTAAAACAAGGGTATGACATAGACGTCAATTTAGAAGTCAATGTTCATGTTGGTGTTTATCGCATCATTGTTCCAAAAGAGCACCAGCATGTGAAAAAAAGAATATGTACGCATTCTCTGAGGAGTGTTTTGTCCAAATAGAAACAAAAAAACCGCGTGTTTTATCGTGATGAAAGGCTTAAAAATACAATGAATGATCTTGAAAACCAAACAGATCTTATGGACTATCTTAGGGCTCTTGCTCATAAACTTGTATTATAAATTATTCATATATTCTGTTTTGTTTTGTTTTTTTATGAATTTTGAATGTTTCAAATATATAAAAATATTTAAATGGAATTTTGTAAATGTTTAGAAAGAGACGTATTTCTGTTTTTTGTTTTTTTTTTAATTTCTACAAAAGAATAATTTTCGGGATTCTGACCCTTCAAAATTTTAATTTTCGTGACTCTGATCTTTGGAGAGTTTGATACATTCGGGATTTTAAATTTCGGGATTTCGATATTCGGGATTTTAAGATTCAGGATTATATCGTAAACCCCCTTTTTTTTGTTTTATAATCATATGCTAAGTAATAATCAATGACCTAAGTCAAGCGAAGAAGATAATTTTTTTTTCTGTTTTCCACTCAATTAAAAAAAAACAACAACTATTAACAAACAAAAGAACCTTAAATGTATAAAGCTCTTTGCAAGATATGGTCGCTTCTTGTTAGAACTTATTTATTTTGGATTTCCTGAAGAAATAGTGCGATTTTATTGATTTGTTGTTGAGTTCCTTTTTTTATTAGACCCAAAGCTCCAACCCAAACAGGAACAGCTTTGGTTTTGAAATGCCATTTTTTTTTATTCCCATCACCAGTATTTGCTTAGTTTTTCAAAAACTGTTTTTAAAATGGAATGAACGTCATTGTCATTATTATTATAATTATTATTGTTGTCATCATAATTATTATTATACTATTATAATTGAGCTTGTCACTTGCTTCGCTAGTTCGCACGACCGTTACGCCCCTGCCAATACATAAAGAATAAATTA